CCATTGGGGGTCAAGATATTAAACTAATTTTTGTGGGACAGCGGAGTACAGGGGCTGCGCTCCACCTCCGCTACGGGTCGGCCCGGCTTTGCACTATCGTCGGGATTGGCCCACCTTTTCAATGCAAAAATAGACGCACAATAAACACACAATCAATTCACATAAACTTTACCATGGTCACATTTACAAGACTCGCACACTTTCGTGGAGTTTGTAAAACACAATCAATTAATAGCTTGAATTCAATTTATGATAGCAATTGAGTTCGTATTGTATACCATATTATTCAATGGTATCATATCTATGTTAACATTAAAAAGCATTCATTTTTAAGATATTTGTAAGAATTTATTTTAAATAAATTACACATTTAGTTATTATAAATAAAACAAAATATAATTTTATATTTCATTCAACGATACAAATGATGAATCAATCACTGGTGTCATCAACAGTACCAAACACTTCTCAAACTCTGAAGAACTCTGAAACACGGTGAAATATCCCGCCTAGATAACCACTAACGCAACCTGAGGCCATAACTATCGACACCAACACCACCCCCAACACCACCCTCAGCACCGACTCATGGGTCTCGATATTCAATGGATACGAGCGGTCGGAATCAAATGAAGACAAATCTCCACAAGACATGAAGGGAATGATGTGTTCATTGGATCCGTTGTTCATGTCTTGGAAATATTGGTCACACTTTTGGTCGACGAAAGAGTTGAAGAGAAATGGTTTGTAGTCTTCTGGCGGACAGTAATGACGACAAACAGCGAACGCCTCTATACTTGAGTTGCGACTACTCTTGGGTTTAGTTATAATCACTTCCGCGAAGAATATCTTCAGTTGAGTCCACAGAAGACTCACGTCTTTGCCGCGGAATATCTTCGCCACAAAAGTTCCGCCCGTTTTCAGGACATGAGTCGTGATATTGATTGCACTCAACAGGAGTTCCGATTGGATGTAAGTGTCGATGTCGTGAAGACCCGTCACATCCGGCGCTCCGTCACAGACCACCAGATCTGCTGCTGAGCCACAGAAGTGTCCGATTATCTCATGGGCTGTCGACATGCGAGTGATGTCGCCCTGGATTGTCACCACTCCTGCCATCGGCGCCATCGCCTGTATGTCCACCGAAACGATGCGAATCTCATCCCAATTGTCGGGATTGAGGTCTTTGTGGAGATAGCGATGCAATACTTGAGACCAACTGCCGGGCGCTCCGCACAGGTCTACACATCTCTTCACTCCCGCGAAGATATTGAACTTCTCGTGGATTTGGATCAGTTTATAGGCAGACCGGGCTCTATATCCGTCGACTTTTGCCATCCGGTAATAGATGTCCCGTTTGTCTGCACTGTATTTGCCCATCTCGTGGTCAATGAGTGGTCACTTCGGGTGTCTGAATGTGCGGCCAATCACTCAATCCATTCATTTGTTTGCAAACAAAACACAACTAATGATAGCGTTTGCCATCTGTTGGACACAACCGTCGCATACATTGACTGCAACTCTCAATGCATTCATTCATTCATTCATCCAATTACTGGCCATTCAATCGATGGCAAAGTGTCAGTCCGTGTGAATGAAGACACAGACATCGCTTTCAGTGATAACTTTGTGAGAAAAGTATCACATTTTTAAATAAATAAATAAAATCACGAAATATCGAGAATGTATGCATATATGGGCTGAAGGGGACAGGGATGGGATGGTAGGGCTGTATAAAGTTATTCAGTACTGGGAATACTGTATACAGAATACAAGAATATACAGCAATACATGAATATATGATAGAGTAGTACAGTATAGCATAGCATGAGTGCAGTGGTGAGGAACAGGTCTTATGTGTGAGGAATATGTTGTGCCTCTATTGGTGAGCCCTAACATACCCGCCCTAAACAGCCCTGTGCTGTACAACTCGATTGTCTGGTCCGACAACTTATAAATTGTGTGAGAGTTCAGTGGTTTGCAGACATTCACACCATTCACTCCAACTCAGTGTTTGTGAGACACAAGTGGTTGCGCTCGCAGTCCTCATACATAGAAAACATCACTTTTTGGATCAGTTTATATCGGTTTCAATAAAGTTTTCGTTGAGTTCTCGATCGAAGTACTTATCGGTTTGATATCTAGTGGTTTGAAGTGATCATAAAATGCAACGAAAGATGCTTTCCATAGTGGAAGACGAGAAGAAAGTGTTGAGACAAATGCAGTCGTCATCCCTTTCCCCGCAATTGTTGTCAGCGATGAGGTGTCGATGCGCTCAGTCCCGAAGGATCAGCAATGGATTGATGGGTTGGGAGCGACGGAACCGCAAACGTATGCTTCGGTATCGCGAGTACCGACGTCTTCGTGATTGTGTGCCATCCATAGCACACAAGCGAGTGTCCAAACTAACGATCATCACCGAAGCCGTCGACCTCATCCCTAACATACCCGCCCTAAACAGCCCTGTGCTGTACAACTCGATTGTCTGGTCCGACAACTTATAAATTGTGTGAGAGTTCAGTGGTTTGCAGACATTCACACCATTCACTCCAACTCAGTGTTTGCGAGACACAAGTGGTTGCACTCGCAGTCCTCATACATAGAAAACATCACTTTTTGGATCAGTTTATATCGATTTGAATAAAGTTTTCGTTGAGTTCACGATCGAAGTACTCATCGGTTTGATATCTAGTGGTTTGAAGTGATCATAAGATGCAACGAAAGATGCTTTCCATAGTGGAAGACGAGAAGAAAGTGTTGAGACAAATGCAGTCGTCATCCCTTTCCCCGCAATTATTGTCAGCGATGAGGTGTCGATGCGCTCAGTCCCGAAGGATCAGCAATGGATTGATGGGAACCCTCGCTGCCTTGGCGTTTGCATACGAAGCCATAGCGCTCATGGCTGCAGAAGCACTAACACACGGTAGGTATCGTGTGTTCGCTCACAGGTTTGAGTGCTAGTAGTGGCTTCGGCAGCTGGAGTTCGACAGACTCGAAGTGGCAGTACTTAACAAATTGCAGTCACAAGGAGTTCCCAAGTGTTTACAGGGTATGCATTGACCACTATTTGTGGCATTTCTTGTGAACCAATTTGCAGACATCTCTCTCTATCTGTCTCTTCCCTATTCTTATCATATATTGTGCTAAATATTGGTTTGGCTTTTGGTTAGCGTTTTGAGTGACGAGGAATTCCTTCGCACAAACATCTGTCAAATGCTATGCTGTACTAAACAGGGCTAAAGTAGGCTATACAGGGGTGCAAGGGTGCAACCTATCCATACAATGCCATTCCAGTTTAAATGTTCAAATGCCAAATATGCCACTTTTCACTTATTATATTTCACTTACTTATCAATTGAAATGCTTAATTTTATTAGCTTAGAGCAAAGTGCAATTAAAAATATTTGCCATTTAACCTAATAGTAATCATTTATAAATTGACCAAATATTTGAACTAAAGTTTTGTGCAATGATAGTTCACACACACTATGCTATGCTATGAATGGTTAGACGGGTCCATACGGGTATGAGTCCATACATATCCATACATACAGTATATGAACGTACATATGGGTAACATATGAACATATGCTATACTTAAGTAATACTTTAAAAGCAATTCATATCATCAGTATTATACTACTATTACTGACATTTATTTATTGCTTTAACGGATACACAGATCCAAAAAACAGTTAAAGAGTTTTGTGTTTCAAATGTCATCGATGTATGGGTCCGAACGCCCAGAAGTTTTGCCGATTAGCTCTTTATACAGTTTAAACTCAATTTGATGTTAAACACAACTTTTCACGACTATTTCACGTTTATATAAACAAGTGTTTCAAGAATTTGTGTTTTAATTTATTGCTCTTTTTCTCACTTTTCACTAAAGTTTCACTAAATCTTAATTCATTTATCTTTTCGAGTGCTTTTATATGGATTGTGTTATTAATTATCTATAATCATAAATTTTGTTATCTTTCAGAAGTGACTTAATGATTTTATTTTAATCTATGATAAAATTCTTACGAAATTCATGACGATTAATTAAAATTGTCTTATAAGTGTTTTATTATATGTTATAAAGTACATTTATATTCTTATTTGCATTTTATATGAACATAAGATACTTTAATATTTTACATAATGATCCAATTCAAATATTTGATTAATTTTATAATAAAATAATGAATTTGCTCTAAATTGTGAAATAAATTAAAAATCCTAATAATTAAATATTTGCCTATTATTAGTATTAAATGATTTTAAGATAGTATTAAATGATTTAGAAATATAAAAAGTATTTAAATAAATATACTGTATTTGAAATTTTCTGGCTACTATTTCCGAGTGCTTGCTCAATTTTATAATTTACTTTAATTTACTAAAAACTGTTCTTTTAACTTTGTTAATATTAATAATTAAATTTAACAAAAAACAAACAATAATTTCCTGAACTTAATTTCTCAAGGAGACTAAGATTACTTGACTTACAGCTCCTGAACTTCCTGGAGATGATGCAATTGATGTCTAAACCCAAACAGACGACAACCAAATCAAAAACGAAATCAACGCAAGATTAAAGTCTTTTACGTAAATTTATTCAACAAAATACCTGTATATTTGCCTTATTTGCTATCATTTGCAAAGAAATATTTATAATTAACTTTCAATATATCATTTATAATGTATAACATAAAATCCATTAAATTAATCGGATTCTATTAATAACAGTTAATGTAAATTAATTCAAATTATAAAATATAAATAATGTTTTAATAAAAATTAAACTGATTTTAAATGAATTATTTATTAAGTTTGATTCGTATTTCTCTCTATTGAGATACAAAACGAATAGTCAACAGTATAAGACACGCTATAAAACAACTAAACTAAGTAACTAGAGACCAAACAGAAATAAGACACTTAAGACTTGGTAACCAAAACGTCGAGAAACAAGTCACGATTCTTTGAATTCTTGCTGTCCGTCCAGTTTATTCACACCATTGACCACATGTTTGATGAATTGATTGTTTTTGAAGACTTTGAGATCATTAGATCCGTTCTGATCGATACGACTCTCAATGAGAATGTCTTCGTTACGACTCAAGACATGAATGTTATTATGAATGCCTTCTTTGCAGCTCAGGATGTCGTGAGACCTGTCGGTCGAGCGAGAGATTCACTTTGATGTCATTGTCCAGAATCGGGTGATTTGGCTCTTCGCTTGTCATCTCAACTCAAATTATCTTTTTTATAAATCAATAAAATAATTTTTGAATTAAATCTCGTTTTTATTATAAACATAAATGATTTGCACATAAATTATCAAATAACATAAATTAAGATAATTGTTCAAAAATCAATGAATTTCCATAACGTTAGGTGCCAGGGATTCAGTGTTAAAATAGAATTTAATTGAATCAAATTCTACACTCTATTGTAGAGAGAGAGAGAGAGAGAGAGAGAGAGAGAGAGACTTACTCTCATTCTTTCTTTTTCTTTCTGATATTCATTAACAAATAATTTAGTTTTAGTCTCTCTTTAATACTTTTAGCCTTAGTTGTAATTATTTGTTCACTAATTTGTTTTGCGATATTTATTATGCGAGTTTCAAATATTTCAACGAACACCCTGTGCTTTCTGTAAACACATTTAGAAAAAATAGTGGATAAAAAATGATAGCAATAAAATTAATTTTATCCAATTATTTGCTATTAGAGTAGAAATTATTGCCACCTTTGGAGAGAACAGTTGTTTGCGCCTATAGTCTGGCCATACAATTATCATTATAAATGAGTGACTCGAGTGGTATAATGGGTGCACTCCTATACCCCGATGCATTATCTGTTTTAGAAAGCTTTTTCCAAATGAAGCTTAATGTGAAAATCACGAATTTAGTCCATTTCGGAAACACTTAGCAAATAATTTATTGTCGGGCCCGGCATTTAAAAGGCCAGGTATTCGTTTGTATGTAAATCTAATTGAAAACCTTATCCCATAATAGATGTGTTATGTGTTTGCGACCATAAAATATATTTTGAGCTAAAGTACAAAATCTTGTTCTCTCTTTGACTCGTATTTTGTTAGCGCTCTCTAAACGGACCTAAACTGCAAATATCGATGCCTTTGAGCCAAATCTTCGCCAAATTTTTCGTTTTATTGACGCTTAATATGAACCGACAAACAGATGGTTTCGCTTAATGTCCATTAAATGAGAGCACAAAATATGTTTCGCTATTTTTCACGTAATTCTCATCTTAAAATAATCAATGCTTTTGTGTTTAAAGTACTTAAAGGATTAGTCCAATGAATAGAAAAGTGGAAAATTATAGCTTTTAGTTTTGTGAATCTTTTATTAAATGAAAATTGCGTCTTAT